TCCCGGGCCCTCCAGAGATCATTTACCAACGTGACCAATGCCGTTTCCGTGCTGTGTCCCGGCCTGAAGCCCGACTGGTATGGGTCTAGATAATCTGTTTCATCCAGGTGACGAGGGAACTGCCGCGCAACCACACTCTCAACAACCTTCGCCGCAAAGCGAAGGTTGGAGACCGGGCGATAGTTAGCCAACTCATCTGATGTGTTTTACTAATGTGGATGAAATGTTAATACATACTGCTAGTCCATGTATGATATGCTGTACACTAAATAAATAAGTAAAATTCTGAATAGGGAGACAGAGGGCTGTGTTTTCAATTACCACAAGAAAATCCAGGGCCCCATTTTGATACAGCCACACATTTTTCTTAGCTGGTTAAACAAATCTGTCTTTTAATTGCTCATTGCTTATTCAAAGGATTTGAAATTATGGGGAGCTCTAATAACTAGAAATAATTCCTTTAGGGCTAGCAGCTGAATTATTTTTTTAAGATTTAAAGACTCTGTTTCTTCCAAATATATATATATATATTCTCCCGATAGCCACATTTTTGCAAGCATACCAAAAAGGCAACCACAGAGAACAAACTGCCCGACAGCCACTGTTCCAGGAGGGCAAAATTGCTCATACGGTAACAACAATCGTCTCATTATTAAGTGATGCTTCAGAACACGAAAAGCAAAAGCTTCTTCTTTTCTTAAGGGAATACCGGAGCAATTATGAAGAAAAGCATCTGTGACTCTCCATCCGTCTCCTGCTTTCTTACTTGCGAATGGAGATTTTCAGATCCGTTTCTTTCAAATGGATTGAAAATGAGACCCAGGACTTGCAATAGTTAGAGGAAAAACAAAAATCTTAATGAGCACCCAGCTGATTAAGGAAATATATACCCCAAGGAACAGAAATGCAGGCATTAAAAGCAATGTTTCTCAATCTTGGCAACTTTACCTGGCTGGGGAATTCTGGGAGTTGAAGTCCACCCATCTTAAAGTTGCCAGGGTTGAAAATCACTGCCCTAAAGAAAGTATCGTGTTGCTAATTTGGCTCAAACACTCAAAAACACCCACCCTTTTCTCCTTGGTTTTTAATAGTAAATTTGTGGTTCTTTATGTGAAGTTCTGCATCCATATTTCCGGTTACGCCGTGTGTTTATTGGGGTGCATTCCCCGAAATCTGGATGGGATCTCTCAGCGGAAACTGCCGCTGGCAATCCTGCCCCTGCCCCTTCAAAATGGGGGCCTGGAGTTTTGGGAGCCCCATTGCATCACAGGGGCACCCCGATACGTGCCACAAAGGAGAGAGAGGCGCAAAGTCTCTCCTAGGAGGCTAAGGGGAGCTTGGTTGCCGCAAAACGTGTGATGGACGCATCCCCCTTTTCCGGAGAACTAGGCTTGTTCCAGCTCTACCAGCACCCCGTCGCAGTCTTTGGGGTGGAGGAAAACCACCGGCTTTCCGTGGGCACCGATTTGGGGTGTGTCACTCAGAACGCGGATCTTTTTCCTCTTCAGCTCTTCAATGGCGTTGGTGATATTGTCCACCTGGAGGGTTATTTGAAGAGTTATTTGTGAGAAATAGAGGGGCGACTTCTAAACAACAAGGATAGAAAACCTCTGGGGCCCCAGATGTTCCTCAAATACAACTCTCAACGCGCAAGGCTATTGGGGAAAGAGGCTTGGGAAGATAGTTCAGTGCTATTTGGAACCCTGTACCCCTTTTTCCCTACCTCCTCTGTGCCTTAAAAACAAATTAAAGAAATGCAAAGTCAATTTTTAGGATTCGCAAGCCCCCTGATCCCTTCGTTTAAGCGCCTACAGGTAGTCCTCAGCTTATGACAATTGAGCCCAAAAATTCTGTGGCTAAGGGAGACAGTTGTTAAGTGAGTTTTGCCCCATTTTACGACCTTCCTTGCCACAATTGTTAAACAACGCTGCAGTTATTAAATTAGTAACCCGGTTGTTAAGTGAATCTGGCTTCCCTCATTCACTTTGCCTGGTAGAAGGTCGCAAAAGGGGATCATGTGACTGCAGGACACTGCAATGGTCATAAATATGAGTCAGCTGACAAGCAGCTGAATTTTGAACACAGGACTAGGAGGACGCTGCAACGGTCGTGTGAAAAACAGTCATGTGACTTTTTTCAGTGCCGTTGTCACTTTGAGCGGTCACTAAATGAACCGTTGTAATTTGGGGACTACCCGCCTTTCTAAAGCAGATTTTGCTCAGAAGAATCTCTTTGGCTTGGAACAAAAACAGAAAATACCTCCAGGCAGATATGATGCATTCCCCCGGCCTTATTTTTTTGCAGGAAACCTGTGATGGGGCTCTTTTCTCCCAGGGGGTGCAGAAGCTCCAGTTTCGTGTTCCCCAGCTCCACAAAGACCGTGTAGACCCCGTGGTCCCGGAGGGGAACGACCTCACTCACTCGGGCTTGTAGCACGTCCCTATACAGAGCGGTGGCCTTTTCCAGGTTGGGCACGGCGATGGCTACATGGTTGAGTTTCCCCAACCTCCACAAAGCTTGGGGAACCGCCTGGTCTGAGGACCCTCTCACCATCGGAGATCTCCAGCGCAGGCGCGTGAAAAGACCTGGGACAAGAAGAAAACCACATCTCCAACATCAGCAATGCCCAGATGGGTAGGGTAATCGCTGGAAAGCCTGGGTGCTATGATGCTTCACTTCTGCAGGGTACCAGGTGGAGCCCTGCAGGTGTGAAGGATGGTAAGAAGGAAGAGCAGACGTGCAGGTGACCAGCATTCCAGATATGGATGAGAAGGAAGACACCATATTTTCCTGGTATGTTCTGCAATCTTCGCTCCTTCTCCTGGTCTGAAAATTAGGGCGGCTTCAGTTGAATTGCACACTCTAGAATAGGGTTTCTCGACTTTTGCAACTTTATGATGGGCGGACATCAACTCCCAGAATTCCCAAGCCAGCATGGGAATTCTGGGAGTTGAAGTCCACCCATCTTAAGGTTGTCAAGGTTGAAAGAAACACTGCTCAGTTCTTGGGCTGAAATGTCAGCTCTGAAGACAATCCTTGCAAATACAGAGCCCCTTCAAGATTTTTCTTCCAGGGCAGCTACAAAGCATGATTTTTGTCAGCAAAATAATTTTTATCCTCAAGAAAAATATGCGGAGGGTCTGTTTTGCCCTTTAAAGCCTTGCTTTTCCATTTCCCTGGGGCAAAAAATCCACGTGGGGTTTCCCTAATAGGTCTGCCTCTACAAACGGTTCCTTTTCACCTTCTGCTACCGTCTTGAAAAACATTATTCATTTATTATTAATTAACCTTATGGAGCCCACTTTACATTCCCTACTATGCCTGACGTGTTTATTATTTAAAATATTCCTGTAACATTTTTTTTTTAAACCCCAGAGTGCTTTACAAGTGCAAATAATTTATCCTGGAGTTCCCCCCCTCCCTTTCTTTCAGGAACGATGTCGAAGGGGTTTGATGCAGAAAAGTCCATTAAACCGTGCAATCTTATGAATCTACTCAGAAGGAGATTCAATGGGACTTACTCCCAAGGAAAAAAAATAATGTGAAGGAATGGAGCTAAAAATCAGGTTCAAATTTATCCTTCCTCAAATAGCCATTCATGCTTTTCCTCTCCTCAGTTTTCTCATCTGGAAAATGGACCAGGACAATGCTGGTCTAGCCGAAAAGGCTGCATTAAGATGAGAGAAGTGTTTGAAAGTACAAACAGTCCTCAACTTACGACAATTGAGCCCAAAATTTCTGTTGCTAAGTGAGGCTTACAGACACACAAAGTTACACTTTCAACAGCCAAATATCAAACTTTTCAGAATTCCTTTGTGTGAATTGTGTGCCGGTGCCTGACATCCCCAAAATGTCCTATACAATGTTTATAGTTTTTCACAGGAGAAATCTTTTAGCATTTCTCTCCCCAGCTGTTAAGCACGCTGCAAAATGCCTGATGTTTCACATTCAAAAATGTGTTAAACTGCAAATATGAATAAACTAATCCCCTTTTCCACCCCACCTTAAGGCTGGGGTAGGTACCATGTTCTTGGCTGCAGAAGCAGCTGGTTCCTGCTGTCTTTTTTAGACCAACCTGAAAGAAACCAGGTTGCTGTTGTTCAAATTTTGAACTAGTTGCCAACTTAGCTGTAGGCAGGATTGAGGGGCGAGTGACTTGCCCTGCAGGGAGGTGTGTGTGTGGGAAACTAAAGGTGTGCCTGTTGGAGCCGCCACAATTCGTAGACAAATGTGACAAGCAGTTTATTGTTGGCTGGATTACTGGAAACATCACTGCGACAAAATAATTGTGCAATGCAATAAAAATTCAGTTGTGGAAGTTTCCTACTGTCCTAAATGTTAGATATTATTATTATGGTTGGTTGCACAGTCAGCCAGATGTTGAGACTGGATTTGGCATTTTATCCACCTATTAAGTCTTTCCAAGGACTTGGGAGACGCAGATGTTCTTGTGTGATGGTGTTAAAGGTATCTTCACAGCTGTTCCAAGCACAGCTGCATTTTGCAATTACTAATTATTATATTATTGTTGTTATTAGTCAGTTGCATAGTCAGTCAGATGTTTAGACTGCCTTTGGCTTTTTGTCCATCTAGCACATCAAAGAATTTAGGGCAGTGTTTTGCAAATCTGGGAACTTTAAAATGTGCAGATTTCAACCCCCAGAATTCTCCAGCCAGCATGCTGAGTGGAGAATCCTGGGAGTTGAAGTCCACCCATCTTAAAATAGGCTGGCTAGGGAATTCTGGGAGTTGGAGTCCACAGGCTAACATTGAGAAAAGTGCTCTTCTAGCAAGTCTAGTTCATGCAATTCAGAAGTACAAAATGAAGCTCTCTTTGAAAAGCTACTACAGGACTGCCTACCCCACAGACACCCCAATGGGCTGTTTTCTCCCCACGTGCAGGACAGACTGCAACTTGCGATCTTCCCAAAGCAGCCAAGTATGTAAAGAGGCATGAGCTGCCCTGAGGTGGCAATGGAGCCTCCATGTACAGGAGCAGCCTACCCCTAGAATGCATTCCAGACACAGGAAGGAATTGCACCCCCGCCTTGCGCGCTTCAAAGCACAGCCCCAGGGAAAGAGCATTGCAGCAGCTGACTCCAGCTATTGCAACGCCTAATCTCACAAAGCAGCAGATGGGAGGATAGTTGCACCAATGCAAGCATGCAAAGTGTGCAAAAAGTCCTATCCAGCAAGGTTGCAAAGGGGTCTCATGCGGAAAGAGCCTCCCCCCGTCCCAGCCCCGTTTCTTCCCCCAGCTTCCCAGCACATACCTGCCACCAGTTTACCCTTGAGGACGGCCATCTTTATACCTGGCACGGCCAGGCTCGGCTTCTTCGCCTTTTAGGCGCAGTGAAGCCACAGAGGAACGGGCAACTGCGTCCCCGCGGGGTCAAAAAGCTTGCAAGGGCGAAAGGAGGCCGCTGGGTCCTAGCGCCAACCACTTTCAAGGATTTCCCCCCAAACGGCTACTACCTTTTCAGGTAAATAACTTTAAAAAGAGAGAGAAGCCACAATGCAAGGCAGGGAATGCAGTATTTATTGTCTGTAGGGCTCCTTCCGATCAGCGGGAGAGGAATTCTAAGGATGCCTCGGGGGGTCTGTTGCAAATCAGGATTTCCTTTTTCCAAAAGCTGAAGGCGCTCCGACGATGCCACCTGCCCCAAAGGACCCGCCTTTGCAGGGCGTCTGTGCATGCCCACCCGGTGCAAATTCTCCCTCAGCCTTGCAACAGATGGCCGACCCACCTTGCAGGGCTGTTGGGAGGATATAAGGGAGAGAAAGCTGCAAAGAGATATATAGGCAAGGAGCGAGGGGAGAGCAGCGCGAGAAAAGCAGCTGGAGTCTCCCCCCCCCCCCCCCCGCAAAGGGTTCGGGAGCTGCGCTGGTAGAGCAGAGCCCCCCGGATCTTTTTTCCCCGGCGGAACCTTCCTCCGCGGAGCGCGCGTTGCCGGGCGGAGCCGTTTGGGGGACGGACGCGCCGAGGGGGCGCCGGAGAAGCATGGCGGACCTCGCTGCGCTCCCGTCTCCACGGCAGCGGCTGGACACGTGTTTGGAGCTTCTGGGCGCCGCCGCGGGTCGCCCCCAGCAGTTCCTCAGGTAGAGATGCGCCGAAAGGCGGGTTCGGGCGGGTGGATCGGCCCCTTCCGAAGTGTTGCACTACAACAAAGTCGTTGGCGCTGTTTGAAATTGTTCTGCCAGCAGCAAGATCTGACTGCTGGCCCAGCGACGGATTCTATTGCAAATCAGGGCTGTTTCCAGAGGAGGAGAGGTCCCGGGGCTTACGGAGCGAAGGAACTGGATGAGGCTGTCGGCAGGCCCAGAGGATGGGGGAGAGGCTTTTGGAGGAGTTAGTGGCGGCGGCAGCATTCTCCAGGGGCAAAAAGGAGTGAGGCCTCTTTAAGGAAAAGGTAGAAGAGACAGGATCAGAAAAAGGAAAGGAGGCGAGGTTGTCGTGCAGGAATATAAGCTAATTTGAGGGCTAATCCACATGGAGCTCCATTTCCATCTGTCCTGTTTGCCATCGTTCGCTCCCTAGAGACTAAAATGGACGATCTGAAACTTGAGCTGCCCATGAACAAGGAATGTATATCGGAGGGGGTGACCCTTTGAGAGCTGTATGCAACGAAATTTCATTTTGATGTATGCCGATTGGTGTACTTTCAAAGTGACAATAAAGTTATTATTATTATTACTATTATTATTATTATTATTATTATTATTATTATTATTATTATTATTAACTCCCATGGCTCCCAGCCTCCCTGCGAGGCAGGCAGGAAATCTCTTGGAGGACAGCGGAGTTGGCTTAGGGATGGCCGTCCCCTCTTTGCTGTAGCTGAGCCCTTTGGCTGCCAGGTGGAAATCCGTCAGGTGCAGCCCAGAGGGCGCCCGGTTGGGGAAGGAGGGGCGCCTTTTCCCGGGGATTCAAGGGAGGGTTGTTGGTCTCAATCCCAAAACCCCTGCTGGTTTTGTATCCCGGGAACCTGGTTTGCAATAAAATAATAGTAATATAGTGATTTATTAAGCTTGTTTGCTGTCCAATTCTTGGTGTCTGAATGGCTCACAACAAATACATTGCAGTACAATCAAGGAAACATTTAATAGTTAATGGTTTATGCTGGCAAACTCTCATTGGCTCTGAGCAGCTTACAACAAAGAAATCACAATAAAATTGATAAAACGTCATAATAGTGGTGACTTATTAAGCTTGTATGTCACCACTCTCAACTACTTTAGGTGGCTTGCAACAAACTACAATAAAATCAAAACAAAATGATAATGGTTTATTAAACTTGTTTGCTGTCCAGTTTTCAGTGACTCTGGGACTCATAGCAATCAAAGAAATTACAACAAAATTCATAAAACATGATGATGATTTATTAAACTTGTATGCCACCTGATTCTCAAAGACTTTGGGTGGCTCACAACTAAGAAACTACCATAAAACATCAATAAAGCATCTAAATAAAACATCTAAACCAATAGAACATCTAAAAAATAAAGATAAAAGTTAACCTGTGTTATGAAATGAGGATATGGAGGTCAACCAGGTTTAAAGAAGGGATGAATCTCATTTGGTGAGTAGCCTGTAACCTCTTTGCTTTCCAGTGTCCAGGATGGCCTTGCTGCTGACTTCGTCGCCTTGACCAAAGCGCTGTACGATTTCCACCACGCCCTCCGAGGAGAAGCTGTGGCTGGAAGCCCTTTAGAAGAGCTGGTGGTGGAGAACTTCGATGAGGAACAGATCTGGCAACAACTGGAACTCCAGAACCATGCCGTCCTGGGGTCCTTGAAGAAAGCGGTTGCTAGAAACGTGGAGGATGAGGGAAAGGGGGTGCTTTCCCTTCTCCCAGACATTGAGGAGGAGGAGGAGGCAGAAGATGGCGAGGAGGAGATGGATTTGGAGGACCAGGCAGAAAAGGAATCCAGCTGCAGCAGTGGTCACAGTGAAGAAGAAGAGGAGGAGGAGCTTGACCAAAAGAGAAGCAATTTAGAAGCCTCCAAAACTGGTTTTTTCAGCGATGAGGATTCTGAGCTGGACTTTGACATCGATAAGTTAGAGAAGCAAATCCAAAAGTCAAAGAACGTTAGGAAAAAGACGGGGACAGACTCCCTGGTGGACGACAGATTTTTCAAACTCTCTGAGATGGAGGCCGCATTGGAGGCAGAGGAGAAAGAAGGAAACAGAGGTAGTGACAGCGAAGGAATAGATTATTTCGAAGAGATTCTCTCTGAAGATGAGGAGGAGGAAGAGGAATTTGGAACAATGAAGAAGAAGGTAAGCGCTTGAAAGAAAATACCGTATTTCTATAAGGTAGATTTAGTTTCTTCTTAAAAATGACATTATTTTGAGGCCCTTGGAAAGAATTGGATTTCAAAACCATTCTCCAGATCAACTTAGAATAGCTGACTGAGGAATCCTGGGAATTGAAGTCCACAAAGCATTGCTGCAGACAGAATATTTATCAAATTGTGCATTTTTTAAAAAAAGTTCTGCTTTGTTTACGTGCATACTTTGAAACAAAAGGGACTCTTCCTGGAAAATCCCAAGGCAAAACTCTACAGATAATATTCCACGTATTTTGAGAACACTTCTTTTAGTCATTCTCATTCCAGTGTGTTAAATATTCACTGCCCATCAAGTTCTGTTTTCTTCTCCCTCAGGCGATTAAAAGTGCTCGCGATCTTAAATATCAAGATTACTTTGATCCTGTGGATGAGAGCAGCGGTCCCCTGGATGAAGAGGACCGAAATAGCCAGAGTGGAGAAGGCGGAGAAGAGGAAGAAGAGGAAGAGGAAGAAGGCAGTGTTGAGAGTACTCCCGAGTATGTGGCTGATATCTAAAGGCGCAGTTCTACTATTTTAGTCAGGGGTGATGAAATCTTAATACATCTATAGGGCAAATTTTGTAGATACTTCAGTAACAAATATATTCAGTAAGAGCCAGTTGGTGTGGTGGTTCAGGTGCTGATGTAGAAACCAGGAGACTTGAGTTCTAGTCCCGCCTTAGGCATGAAAGCCATCTGGGTGACTCTGGGCCAATCACCAGGAGACGGTGAATTCTAGTCCCCCCTTAGGCATGAAAGCCAGTTGGGTGTCTTTGAACCAATCACTAGGGGACGGTGAGTTCTAGTCCTGCCTTAGGCATGAAAGTCAGCTAGGTGACTTTGAGCCAATCACCAGGGGACGGTGAGTTCTAGTCCCCCCTTAGGCCTGAAAATCAATGAGTGGGCCAATCACTGTGTCTCACCCCAACGCACGTTATAGGATTGTTGTTGTGGAGAAAATAGGAGGAAGGAAAGAGTATTAGGTATGTTCACTGCCTTGAGTGAATAAAGGCGGGATGAAGAAGACAGTAAATAAAAAATACGTGCCTAATGAATCTTAATTTTTATCTTTTTATCCTGTGGTTGAATAGGAGCGCCGAGGTCTTGGGTGAAACGAGACAGATCGAATGTGGAAAAAGCAAAGACCTCTCAAAAAGAGTGACCTTCTCCTTGCCCTTTGACAGCGACGTGGAAGAGGAAGCTGACCCACTCCAGGGAAAATCTAACAAGCCCCCTGAAATGAAATCGTCCTTTGAGAAAAGACAGGAAAAGGTGAACTTGCGTATCGGCAGGAGACCTAAATCCATGCAACTGTTATCTGAAAGAATCTTTGTAAATACAAAATCTTCAGGCTGGAAAAAAAACAAACTGAGGAAGAAACAAGAAACAGTCGTGCCTTTTGAGAATTAAGGCGGCTCATTTTCTCCTTACAGATGAGCGAGAAAATAAAATCCCTCGAAGAGGAGCTGCTGAAGGAGAAGCCGTGGCAACTGAAAGGCGAAATTGCGGGACAGAGGAGGCCCGAGAACAGCCTCCTGCAGGAGATGCTGCTGTTTGACCATGCCGTCCGAATGGGTAACCCTTGAACTGAGCACAAAAGCTCCGGGGGAGAGAGCTCTTTCGCATTTAATGTATTGATCTATTTGATTTTTATCCCGCCTTTATTATTTATACCAATAACTCAAGGTGGTGAACATTTCCAATACACCTTCCTCCTCTTATTTTCCTCACAGCAACAGCCCTGTGAGGTAGGTTGGGCTGAAAGAGGGTGGCTGACCCAAAGTCACTCAGTTGGTTTTCATGCCAAAAGAAGGACTAGAACTCACCGTTTCCTGGTGATCGGCCCAAAGTCACCCAACTGGTTTTCCTGCCTCAGGCGGGGCTAGAACTCCCAATCTCCCAGTTTCTAGGCCGGCACCTGAACCTAACTGGCTCTTATAGCTAGGAATGCTGGTTTGTACGTGGCCAAGATGATTCCATCATCTGGTTATTTTCAGAAAGGATACTGTTAAATCTCACTGGGGTGTTTTTGTGTGTGTGTGCGTTTGTGTGTTCTCAGCTCCTATGGTCACAGAAGAAACAACTCTTGAGCTGGAAGAGATTATCAAGAGAAGGATAAAAGATCAAGTGAGTAAAAATGATTAATCTTTTTCTTGCTGTTGCTGAGACCATTTGGCTGCCATAGCTAAAAACCATAAGTTTTCTGGATTGTGGGTATCCTTCCTTGAAAGTGGTGGAAAATACAATTTCCCTACCTTTTGAGAATCTTTAAGATTCTGCTGCTGTGGATTTTTTTCCTAAGAAAGTAATCTGGTGCTTCAGGGTTAAAAGGTTGCCAAGTTCTCATTATTCTGGTGTGGCTGTTTTTGTTTTTTTTTTTTAAACACCTCTTTTTACATTATGCAGATTTATTTTCTTAACTCCTGCAATTTTGTCAGCTAATTTTGTGGCTTACTACAGAGAAGGAATTGCATAAAGGTAAAACTAACCCAAAGTCAGATGTTCATTGCTACCTGCGGCAAGCATTGCTCTGGAGTTTTTTTCTAAAAACACACACAAGAAACCCCCGACACATCATTTTAACATTTTGTGTTCTAGGCTTGGGACGATGTTGTCCGTAAAGAAAAACCAAAAGAAGATCCCTTTGAGTATAAGAAGCGTTTGACTCTGGATCAGGAGAAAAGCAAATTGAGTCTTGCTGAAATTTACGAGCAGGAATATTTGAAACTGAACCAGGTGTGTTACTGTTGATTAGTGAAATTTACTATGCACCTCTGCAGAAGTAGTTTGGTTATTTCTACTTGAAGACCCAGGAATTGTGGTCATGTGAATAAGTAAGGAAAAAAGAATTGCAAGTTAATTTCTAATTCTGAAGTGGACTTCACCGATTTGCTTTTGTTTTCTTAGTGCTTGAATTATCTATTATGGATTGGACAAGGTTTACAATATGGTTAGAAATTATGTTTGGGCTTTCAAGAAAAAAATAGTACCCAGATATCCTACCTTTTTGAGAAAAACTTCCAAAAGCACTCAGGTGTAACCTGGGTTGGTACAGATTTAAAAGACCCTGTTTTATGCCCATGTGTTTAATTTCTTGACATTCAGCAGTAAAATACCACAAATCATTTGATAGAAGAAACCACATCTTATATTTTATATCAGATTAAAAATTAAGTTAATTAAAATACCTCATATCTTGCCATTTTTTTAAAAAAAAAAATTGGGAATTGCTCTTCTTCATCCCACCTTGTGTTAATGCAGAAAAAAACTGAAGAGGAAGAAAAACCCGAGCATGTCGAAATACAGAAAATGATGGACTCTCTCTTTGTCAAACTGGATGCCCTGTCCAACTTCCACTTCATGCCGAAACCGGTAAGTACGGTGTCCCTGCAGACCTGGGAGCAAGTATTTTGTGAATAAAAGCTCAAAGTTTTGAGTAGAAGGGTTGAGAACACTGTCTCTTCTCTTGGCAAACTTTTAAAGTCCATATCAGTGTTTCTCAACCTTTGGAGACATTAAGATGGGGGGATTTCAACTCCCAGAATTCCCCAGCCAGCAGAGTTGACGTCCTTCCCATCTTAAAGTCACCTAGGATGATAAATAAGTACAGATGAAATGCAGCTTTTAGGCATTTTAGCACCCAATTCCACTTCATTTTTTTTTTTATTTTTTTTTGCTATTGTTGAATGAGGTTGAGCTGTATGCATCATGTCTCTTTTTCGGTTTTCCTGCTAGCCCGTTCCGGAAGTTAAAGTCGTCTCCAACCTCCCAGCGATAACCATGGAAGAGGTTGCCCCGGTGCACATTAGCGATGCTGCCCTTCTGGCACCTGAAGAAATCAAGGTGTGACATTTCTCTTGAGTTGTCCTGCTCTCTATGACTAGCTGATCCTGTCCTTGGGAATCTGGTTCCATTCCAGGTTGGAGAGAAGTCAGAGTGGGCTCATGCAGTTGATTTGTCCCACATGCCCATCGCTGCTTCTCTTAACGCCGGTGTCTCCTTGGCCTAAAGTAAAATGACGTCTTGAGGCCTGGAGATAATTCCAGCTAGCTCCTCCAAAAGACAAAGCAAAATTTCCTGGGCTGTGGACGTGTTAGTGGTGGCGCACCTGGGTTGGGCATCATGGAGATTTCTCTGTTCCCTGCTAAGATTCGTGGGATCAAAATTGTGTTGTTGTTGTTTTTGCCAAAATGCTTAACTCGCTCCGATTTTAGAAGAAGAACAAAGGGGGCGATGTGAAAACGGACGCAGAGAAGACCCCCGCGGATAAAAAACGGGATCGTCGGAAAAAGAAGCTGGTGAAACGCATGAGGCTGAAGGAGAGGGAGAGGAGGCAGAAGCTCCTGGAGAAGAAATCAGAAGCCAGTGCCAAGCTCAGCAAAAAAGGCTCCGAGGCCCAGCTGGAAAAGTTGACCAAGGAAAGGGGCACCTCGTTGCTTAAGGTATGCTGAGTGACGTGGGGCCGAAGACCCCCAAATGCCAAAGCTTGCTCGGTCCGATGCCTTCACTGTGAGAGCAGCTTCCCTTTTTATAACATTTGTTGGCCAGGGGATGGTATGAAAAAAAAAATGGCCCCAAATCCCCGATTTTCATGGCTCTTCCAAACCACAGCAGAGGGGAAGGGGGATCCAGATCTTGTGGTAGTTAAGTCGAGGGCTACACTTTGGAAAAGATAATGGTACAGTTTTTGGCTTGAGCCAACTCCCCCTTTATTTAAGGGCTCAGCAAATACGAAGGAGCTGTTTCCAGAATCTTGATGCATTTGAGTAGAACCAACCTTCTTTCTACCCCACACACACAAACACGCACGCACACACACACACACTCACAGAGACACTTTCATCCTTTGTCCTCATTAACGTGTGAAGCATGAATGTGTAAATCTTGCCAAGTTCTTGGGGGTGGGGGAAGCTTTGGGCTGCCGGAAAGATTGTGCCACTTAATACAACAGCTGCCATTACTATTTTGTCACAGTCAGAACACAAGCGGGCTTTTTCTCCCAGAAGCTTCGTGTGTGGCTCGAACCGCCTGTTTTTATTTTTATCTTTTTATTTTAAAGGGTGTGTGTGTTTCTCCTTGGTGTGCGTTTCAGTTACGCCGAATAAAACGCTTCTCCTTTGCAGGATGACGGCCGAGAGAAAGCTTTGAAGTCTTCCAAGGCTTTCTTTTCTCAGTTACAAGATCAAGTGAAAATGCAAATTCGGGAGACAAAGAAAAGCCAGAAGAGACCAAAGAAGCAGGAACTCTCTGCCCAGAAGCTAAAGCTGTGATAAATTATGCATGCTTTGTTTTGTATAAATTAGAATAAGGGTTGGGTTATTATCTTTTCTTAATTTAAAACTGTGCTTTGAATTAAACTCTGTTGATAAGCATATATGTGTCCCCTTTCCTCTTGAAGTCATTGCTGTATGCAGGGGTCTCCATCCAGTACAGTCACATGTAAAACTGCCTTCTTGCCTTTTTTGGACCACAGCCTGCAGTCACCTCTGGCTGCTTGTGAGAGAGTCCAAGCATTTTTTGGCCAAAGGAACAAAGGAGTTAGGGATGATGAAGTCCTGGACACGGCCCTGTTGATTCTCAGCAATAACATAGAAGTGATTCATTTTTATTTTTATTTACTTCTCAGTCTTGCCTTTGGTCCCCCTCCCCAGTCAGCCAATTGCAGCTCGGTGAATTTGTCCAACAGCAGCCTAGTGCTTTTTCCTGCCTTCTGTTATGTATCACTTGTAAAAATGCCAGGTGACCAGTACTGACTGGAGACATACTTTGAAGTGAATCTTTGAAGTGATTCGGTTTTTTTTTATATGCTGAACAGAATTAATATTAAATTTGTGCATAAATTCTGTGTCAGTTCAGGGGTTCCAATGGAAGGCTTAAGATCTTCATCTATCCTCCGTTCCACACTTCTGATTGCATTTGTTTGGGAGCTGTAAAATACAGCTTTGGAAGAAGAAGAAGAAGAANGGGCAAAGGATTGGACTAGACCTCCAAGGTCCCTTCCAACTCTGTTATCCTCTATTCCGTAAAAGGTTTATTGTTTTTTCAAGAGCTTGACTTCTCCAAGGAAGATGGGTAGCTACTATATTTCCTAACACAGCCTGGTGTATATTAAAAACTATCCTTTTGTAGATATTTAATTGTAAGGCCTTTCATACTTGTCTGGTTAATGCAGCTCCATTTTGTCATCTTAACAGCATTAAAAGCAAGCAAGATAGCTCAGGAATCTTGATTACTATTCAAGGTGCTTTTTCAGTTTGGAAAATTACCTTTCAGGCTACAATTATCCCTTTTGCATTGAAAAGTTTTATGCCCTTAATGCAGAGTGGGGGAAGACAGTCTATCAAAAGATGCCATTTAGCACATGAAATGAATACGGTTGGTTTAGTAAGGCATTAAATACATTTTTTTCCCTTCTCTGACTGCATAATTGTATGTTATATCCATTTGGGGCTTTGAGGGGGAAATCTGTCAAAGGCAATTAAAGACACCCCGAATCTGGATTTGAATTTATTTCCAATTTTTTGCTAAAAGCAAACAGCAGCATTTGCAGCTTAATAGGGAGGAAATGTAAGGCTGTTCCGTCTTTAAAAATGAAAAAGCTGGTCTAATTGATGGGGAGAGTAAGATTGTGTCAGCTAATGGAAGAAGCAGGGGAAAAAATCAGGGAAGTGGTGGGATTTTTCTTGCACAGAAAAGGTTTCTGTGCTGCCAACGGAGCCATCCAAGGCTCTTCAAAGGGCTGTGTAGAAACATCTGCATTTCTTCCAAAATCTTGCTTCCAGACCTGGCAGATGCTTCCGGGGAAACCAGCAAAGAGTTTGAAGTCAAAATTGCCTCCAGATTCTGTCCTAAATGCAAAAGGTGAATGAACACTTCCTGGGAATTGTAGGAAAAAAGGGTGTTGGGCAAAGTGAAGGGATAAAGGAGGTGGTGGTGGTGGGGAGTCCTTTCAGGAGAAGGAGAGCAAAGGGACAAGACTTTGTCCAGTCACCAGGAGTTAAACCTGGCTTGGGGATATCGTTCCTTTTTCAAAGGTATGAGAGCTCAAAGGGCTTCTTCAGGCAGTTAACCTTGGGAACTCACTGCCACAGGATATGGTAACCACCTGGTTTAGGAACCACAGCAATGTTTTTCAAACTTGTTCACTTTTAAGGTGAGTGGACTTCAACTCCCAGCCTTCCCCCGTCATCATTGTGCAAGTTGTTCATCCACCTAAAAGCATGCTGGCTACGGATGTTGGGAGTTAAAGTCCGCCCAGCTTAAAAACTTCCCAATTCGAAACACCCCGAACTAGAGAGCTTGCAGGTAGAGATTGCAAAACAAGCATGTAAAGATTGTGTTTATGCCACCAAGGGTAAAAAAGGGTTGCATTTCAGGCATGGATTGGACTCCTAAATATGAAAAAAAAAAAAAAAAACAAGCTCAAAATTTGCAGCTTGTAATTTCTAGCTGCTGATCGACCGCTCCGGCATCGACCCTGCATGCCTGGATCTGGGATGGATTGCAACAGCCTGGCGGCCGGATGGAACGTTGTGCAGGCAAAGAGGCTTCCCCGCACGCGGGAACTTCTTTGCGCCGCGCATGCGCGGCCCGTGAGCTATTGCAATTTTTGAATGAATTTATTGCTAGGCGGGCCTGGGTCTCGTTTTATTCGCACCGGGGCGGGGGCGTTTCTTCCCTCTCCCCTGCGTTGCAACCCTGCGCCGCGTTTTCACCCGGGACGCCTTTTCCACCACCACCATTTTTATTTTTATATTTATTTATTTATTTTTGCAAAATGCAATAGGGATTCCAGGATGAAGCAGGTACAGTACTGCGATGGAAAATCCGTTTTCAATTCCTAGTGTAAAACGAAAGGTTGGGAAATGTCACGAATTGCTGAGATCCGAGCAGTGCAAGTAGCTTAGATGGTAGCAGCCCTTCTTCAGCTGCTGAGACCATCTCTCTGTGATATTTTGTGCATAAACAGAATTGCCATTCTTAATTGCAGAATTTGAATGCAGTCGGCAGGCTCTGGGAAAACTTTCTGCTTCTGTTAGAAACTTATATTGGGGGTTAGGGAAGACAAAGCACAAAGGTGTGGCTTTTAGAAGTGGCTGTCATGTAAAAAAGGGGGGAAGACAGAGAAATATATAAAATAAATAAATAGAAGAATATGTATGTACATGTTTGTACATAAATGTGGGAGATAAAGGAAAAGATAGACAAATATGTAAAGATGATAGGTAGTAAGAGATGATAGACAATAGATGGATGGATGGATGGATGGATGGATAGATAGATAGATAGATAGATAGATAGATGATAGGACAATGTGTAGGAATGGAATATATCTAACCTCTGTCCAGAATCTTTGAGAGTTGGGAAGCATTCAGGTTTATTATGATTGTTATTATATAGGTAATCTACAATTAGATTCACAAAGAAGAGTGAAATAATTATTTGTGATATCTGCAGTCACTAAATCCTAGAATGCAAAATCTCTCCCAGTGCTGTAACTCTTAATTATAACAGAATGCTGAAGTCTTTTCTTGTTAAATCAATAAACCTGGATAGTTTCTCCATGAAATTGAACTTGAAAGCAGATCTAGAAGAAACCAAGTTTTAACACACCACCTCTCCACTAAAAACTTTTATCCAGACCCTATCACCACTTCAGTGACATGTGAAGGATCCTATGAAAGTCAATTCATGAAATTCTTTGGCCCTTTTTGAAATGCTAGCTCTGTTTTTCACAAAGGGAGAATGCCATCGTGATGCATTGTTATTTCTTTCTGCAAAACTTTAACATGGCTTCTTTTCTTTTTCCTCTTCAGACAAGACAGAAGAGAATGTACAGCAAAAGGGAACCGAGGGAATTTATGTTGCCGTGAAACAAGGCTGTGGAAAGGTAGCCCCTCTCTTTTCACCATGCTTTAGGGTCCTGCAATGGCAGAAGACGAGTCTCCGGACAAGAAAAGACCCAGGAGAAAACTGTCCCTCTGCAAGAGCAATAAAAAATCTGCAAGAAGAAACTGCAAAGAGGGGCTGTCTTCAGCCCCAGACTCTTCTTCCATTATTTCTCTTTTTAACAATGCTCCCCCCACCAGAATTGCCTGCCCCTTGTGTGGCCAGACGATACCAAGATACAGAATCAACCAGCATATTGACGAAGGATGCAAAAGTAATCAGAATGAGGACAATGTGAATGGCTTAGCATCGGCTAAAGCTGGGCCTGTGGGTTCGAGTCCATATTTTGCAACTAAGCTCCCAACTCCAGAGAAAAAATTCAGCCTTTCAGGAGGAGACAATCTGGAGACAAAAAGAGGGTCAGGAGAAGAGACGAGTCCTTATTTCAAGAAAGTTTCAAGAAAACTAGCGCTGCTTGATGATCAGCCTAGAGTTGGTTCCATTAAAACTATCTCCCTGGGAACCTTGTCGACCAGATTGTCCAGGAGGCGTCATGGTGGCAGCAGGGAAGGGTTGACTCCAGATGACCAACCTTGTCCAACTCAAGCTGGCGTCACAGAGCAGAAACCCATCCAGAAACCTGTCACTTGGGGCGAAGGCTCCCCGAAGGAGAACCAGTTGTCCCCACCAAGGTTTCAGAGCTGTCATGGAGCTCCGGAAGGTGTGAACAAGGATTGTGAACAAGAAGATGGCCCTGGATCTCTTTCTGATGGTCTGGATGATTCTGCTCTGGTATCACGGTCACTCGGTGGCAGAGAACTGTCAAGAAAAACCCATCAGCAAGTCAGTAAGCCCCTGAAGAATCCAGATGTGCACCAGTTGGGAATGTCTTCAGTAGCTGAGGAGGAAGGGCTGACAGCAACTGTTCCTAAAGAAGAGCCATCCAAGTTGGAATCCCAGAGTTTCCCCTCTAACAAGCCAGCTCCAACGACAGGAGAAGGCTGTCGCCGTGAGATGCAAACGTTCTCCAGTCCCACAGGAGATGCAACGGAAGGGCCTTCTAGGGAAGAGGAGGCAGGGGCCAGAACTGAACTGGAGGATGAAGCATGTTTGGCAGCTTTAGAAAAAGCGAGTTTTCCAAATTCAAGTGGGAACGTTGGGCCTGGGCTGGATTCAGCTGGGCACCCCTATTATCTTCGAAATTTTCTCATGATCCTGGAGGCTGTGCTGGAGAACGAAGACGACCGGAGACTGTTCAACGAGGAAGATTTGGAGGTCACTGTTCGGTTCTACAAACTTTCAGGTAGCTTTAATTTGTAATGGCTTAATGACCAGGTGATTCGCTTAATGACTGCGCTGACAGGCTTCACAACTGTAGTAAAAATGATTATAAAAACAAATTGGGTTATGTGGTGGCTTGATTTATGACCAGAATGATTTATGACCAAAATTCTGGGTCCAATTGTGGTCAGGTGTATTTAGGAGTCTGCATTTAGCCGCTAAGCCATTGCGCTCGACCAGTTAGTCTCACTTGTTCTCGTTAAATTGCTTCACACCTCAGAAATGTTGGCTCAGCTGAACTCTCTGAGTGAGATTCTCTTGCAAAAGGTCCAGTCGTTTCCGAAGAACTTCCACGCAACGCCACTTTTTCAGACAACTTTGTAAAAATATTTTCTTCTCTCTCACATTACAATTCAATTGCAGCCAGTGGACAGAAACTCTACATTCGGCTTTTCCAGCGTAAACTGGCCTGGATAAAGACGAATAAAATAGAATATGCAGAGATCAGCTCGGATCTTTCACCGGTCATCCAAGAGCTTGTTGAAGCAGGATTCCTGCAGTCTGGTAGGTCCACTAATAAGGTGGGTGCAAAGCAGTTTGGGGGGGGGGGTCCACTAATTTAGAGGCTTTTCTGTTGGCCCCTAGAGAGTTAAGAACTGCATTTGGCCTTTGAGCGGTCAGTTTAAGGCCGCAGCGTGAAAATCAGGGTATGTTTCCGTGAAGGACCGAAAGGTGATGCCATAAATCAGGGGTCTCCAACCTGGGCAACTTGAAGACTTGTGGGCTTCAACTCCCAGAATTCCCGAATGCTGGCTGATCTAAAGACACCCTGATCTAAAGAATCTGTTTACAGGTGGTCCTCAACAACCATGAGTTTAGTGACCAAGTTGCAAGGGCACTGAAAGAAAGACTTATGACTCACATTTACGACCATCTCAGCATCCCCACCATCACGATTAAAACGTGGGCGCTCGGCAACCGCAAGTATTTGTGCCAATTGCAGCGTCCCGGGATCACGTGATCCCCATTTGCAACCTTCCCAGCTGGCTTCTGACAAACCAGGTCAATGGGGGGAAGCTGGATTCACTTAATGATATGATTTGCTTAACAGCTGTGGCACAAGTAAAATCAAGTTCATCACCATCTCGCAACAGAAATTCTCTTCTTAATTATGGTCGTACGTTGAGGACTTTCTGTGGGACATTTAGGGCAGGGGTCTGGGAGCTGAAGTCCACAAGTCTTAAAGTTGTCAAGGTTGCAGACCCCTGATTTAAGGAGTTCTTGGCTGTTTTCCATAGCAAAAGTCTGCAATTGAGCTAATTCCCCCCCCCAAACCCTGGTCAGTTTATTATTTTTTTCCCCTTGGCTGCACCCGCAGAGGCCGAACTGCAAAGCCTGTCGGAGGTCCTCGACTTGCTTTCCGCCCCGGAATTGAAGACTTTAGCGAAAGAATTTCACTTGAAAAACCCAACTTCTCCCAAGCAGCAGCTTCTGGAAGAGTTCCTCCGGTTGGCAAGACAGCGCTCCGTCTTTGGCCCGCGCCAAGCTGGGATTGGCGGCGTCATTGTAAAGAGGTGAAATGTTCAGTTGAGGAGTGTCAGCAGAGTTGCACGGTTGCCATTTCTGCAGCCGGTCTGAGAATGCGATGAGCGATAGCAACAACTGCACCAACTTACGAGGGAAATTCCAATTGTGGTTGTTAAGTTGAGGTCTTACGAGGAGGTTAGTGTAGACACCTAGAACTGCACCAATTTTATGATGAAAATTCCAGTCCCAATAGCGGTCGTAGGCCGAGGACTGTCAGAAGAATTGCACAGTGTATGTGTGTGTGTGTGTGTGTATGTATGTATGTATGTATGTATATATATCTCCAGTGATGCAATCAGCGATCTCCGGGAGAGGTACAAACCAGTTTATTGTTAAAACAATACTTAAAACAATAAAAACAGTTATATACAAAGTTAAAAAACAACAACTTTTAACAATAAACAACTGGTTTGTACCTCTCCCGGAGATCACTGATTGCATCACTGGATAAACATGCCCGGGATTCACATTTTTGCAACCATTAAGGACATATGTGTGTGTGTGTGTGTGTGTGTATACATATTTATTAATTTTTTATAGTCACAAGTGCTTAAAATATCAGCAACATATTGTCTGAGTTTCAATGTCTAGTTTACTAATACATATTAAGTTCCTTTCTCTCTTTCTCTTTTTTCTAGCCAATTATAAAAAATATCCCATGTTCTAAAATAAACTGACTCTTCTTTCTCTTTCATTTTCAATGTCAAACAGATCCATTTCTGCACACTTTAAGGTTTTTTTAATTAACACTTCCTCCGCAGGTAGATCTTCATTTTTTCAATATTGAGCAAATACAATTCTTGCTGCAGTTAATATATGTAAAATTAAGAGAGAGAATGCAATTATTGATACCTACAACCGCACCAGCTTAGGACAGAAATTGTGATCCTGATTGTGGTTGTAAGTCAAGGATTGTCTATAGAGTTGCACGGTTTCCGTTTCTGCAGCTGGGTTGAGAGAATTCTAGCACCGATTCCTTCTCCTTTCTGCTTTCCAGGGCTAAAGTTCTTGCGGGGAAATGCATCAAGGTTTGTAGAGGCCCCCGAACCGTTTTTTCTCACGTGCTGCTGCTTTTCTCCCTGACGGATCCCGTGGAGGATGAAGAAGCGGGAAGTGGCGGCCAAAGACAACTTTCTACGGTGCTGATGGTCAACATGGGCCGGACCGTCTTCCCCACTTACACAGTCAACAGGAAAACGCCAATATTTCAAGATCGGGATGATTTCCTTAGGTAGGAAAGAAATTATTATTACTATTATTATTGTTATTATTATTATTATTATTATTAATAATAATAATAATAATAATAATAATAATAATAATAATATAATATAATAATAATAATAATAATAATAATAATATAATAATATAATAATAATAATAATAATAATAATAATAATAATAATAGAGTTGGAAGGGACCTTGGGGGGTCTTCTAGTCCAACCCCCTGCTCAGGCAGGAAGCCCTAGACCAGTGATGGCAAACCTTTTAGAGACCAAGTGCCCAAACTGCAACCCAAAACCCACTTTTGTATTGTCGGGTGCCGGGTGGGCGTGGCCCATTGGGTGGGCGTGGCTGTGGTGGTAACGGTAGACTGGGTGAGACTAAAAAGTTCAATCAATCAATGCCAACTTTGCGAGATCTTTTTTTCCCCGCGAGAAGTTGAAATTGATTGAACCTTTTTTTTTTTTTTTTTTGCACACGGCGGCGGAGGCCTAAAGCGCAAAGATTTTATAAAACCCAGCTGAAGGCCTAGGACTGGGGTGACGGTGAGCGTGCCAACAGAGAGGGCTCTGCGTGCGTGCCATAGGTTCGCCACCACAGCCCTAGACCATTTCAGACAAATGGCTGTTCAGTCTCTTCTTATAAACCTCCAATAATGGAGCACCCACAACTTCTGAAGGCAAGCTCTTCCACTGATTAATTGTTCTCACTGTCAGGAAATTCCTCCTTAGTTCTAGTTCTTAGTTGCTTCTCTTCTTGATTAGTTTCCATCCGTGGCTTCTTGTCCTGCCTTCTGGTACTTTGGCCCTGAAGGAATTAATCTGGGTTTGTCTATGGAGACTCTCAGGTCATAGCTGTCCCAAAGGTACTTTTCTTTCCCCAAAAGGCAAGTGGACTTTCTTGGTTTTTCCTTGAAGATGTTTTGCTCCTCATCCAGGAAGCTTGTTCAGTTCTGACTAGTTTCTAGGTCTTAATCCGGGTTCTAGGTTACTCTTGTTTCTTCCTTACATGGATTTTCTGTTTTCCACTAGGAAGCTCTGGCCGATATATTTTATCCTCTTCTTTTTGAATACGCAACCACCCTCTAAGAAAATGACTTTTGTTACCTGAATGACATTAGGCACAAACACTGTCTTCCCCCCCCCCCCACACTCACACCGTATCCTGACTACAAACAATCCTCACAACTCTTTTCAAAGCACACGAGTAGCTTTTGTTTTAAGGCACTCCTAATATTGAACGTTTTTTAAAATTTTGAGTTTATTGTTGGTCGTGCCTGCTTCTGATTATGTGACAGGGAGACATTTTTAAGTGGTCCTTGATTACTGACTGCCCTCTTTAGCGATCAAAATTATGATGGTGTTGAAAAAGTTTCTTTATGATCAGCCCTTGTACTTAAAACTGTCACAGTGTCCCTGCAGTGACTTGATCAAAATTGGGGCTTTTGGCAACTGTTGCACATTTATGACAGTCCAGGGACCACATGTTCACCCTTTGCAAGCTTCAGAGCTGGTTTCCAACCAGCAAAGTCATTGGGGAAGCCAGCAGGAAGTCGTAAGTTGCAGTCCTGTGATGTTGCCCTTAAGCCATGTGATTCACTTAATGTCTGTGGTGGAAGTGAGCTTGTTAACTGAGGTCGTTAACCAAGGACTAACTCTTCCCATAGCATTACTTGTGATAGGATAAGGCGGGGAAGCAATCATCTTCACAAGTTGCAACAACCAGTTTTAATTTCTCAATAGGTACGCTGCCGCTGCGCACACCTCCAATGATATTTGTGTGGCGATGACTGGCGGGAACTGGGAAGAGGCGCGATGCCTGTACGAGGCTGCAAAAGCATCTTGGCAGGAGCTGAAAGGACACCCTTCCCTCAGGTGTGTTGATGGAGGGGTGGAAAGACTCCCCCCCCCCCCCGCAGTGGTGCCTGGGAATGGACGGGAGGGAAAAGATGCTGCCTAAGGAACAATCAGATAGGAGAGGACATAGCCCCGAGCTGCATAACGGGCAGAGAAAGAAACTCCCTAACTTCTCAGGCTGTAAGGAGGTTTGTACTATCAGATTTGCAAGATTAATGTCAGCCTTTTCACGAGCAAAGTGGTGGCCCAGTGGTAAAGATGCTCGCCTCCCACTCAGAAGGTTGAGAGTTCAATCCTAGGTAGCGGGCAGTTGTTTTTCTCTCAAGGAGCAAAGAAAAAATATCTGCTGTGAATTCTGTGGAGGCATCAGGAAGGGCATCCAGCCAGTAAACGCTCAGCTCCATTGAGTTGCCCCGACTCTACCCTGAATTAAGGGACTACAGGGCCATAAAAAGGGAGGTTTTTATGTCAGCCTTTTCACCTAGAAAGACAGGAAACGCAACCAGATGCGCTAATTCTACTTTATTGTAAGGCCACCTTGACCGAGTCTTGCAAGTCTGATAGGTTAGATAGGGGAGATGTAGGAAAGAAGGAAATTTTGATTTAATCTCAGAGAGAGAGAGAGAAAGAGAGAGAGGGTAAACTATAAATGTACTGAAAACTGCTAATAAGATAGAAATCCACGTTCCCCCTTCTTCAGTCTGGCAAAGAAGACTGACCTCTGTGTTTTCTCATGCAGCCGTCACCAAGCCCTCCCAGAATTCCTGCGGCGTTTCACCGTGGGGTGGCTGTACACACGGATCCTCTCTCACGGGGTAGAGATCTTGCAGAGGCTTCACATGTACCAGGTAATAGATCTCTTCAAAAGATCTGCATCTTCTTGTTATCCTGGGGGCTTCATGAAGATCAGCTGAGGGGTGGGGGTCTCCTGTCCAAGGAGTTGACTATCTTTGAAGCTCTAAATAGAAACAATCCTCGGCTCCATTTATTGAGAAAGGTATCATTTTATTAGCATTGCAGTAATGCAAAGCCAGAGAGTGAAAAATCACCGGCCGAAATCCCTAAGTTCAATTTTTCCCTCCCTTTGCTGCCTCCCATCGCTCAGCCCCAGGCAACCAGTCAGGTTGGGGTAAAATGTTTTTGTAGTGGTCAGTCCAAGCACAGTTTGCTATGCAGCTGGAATGCTGGGTGACCTTGAAGCAGCAGTCAAAGAGGAGATACAGCATTTGCTTTCATTCTCCCCCAAGCCTGCCCCCTGTGACCACATAGCAGCAAAGCACAAGCAAGCAGAGGGTGGCAGCTGACACTTGGTTTCCTGGCCCAGCCCATAGTGAACCATTGGCTCTCGCTTAATGAGTGCGGCGTTCACTTTATGATCACGGCATCGTTTTACGTCAACGTTCACTTAACAACCACTGGAAAAAAGCTCATAAAGTCAGCTTGGTTACGCAGTTTATTCGTTTTACGACTATCACAACTTAAGACTGTGACTGTGCAGGCTCCATTACTACCTGTAGTGCAAATCTTTTCTACCTTTGAGTTTGTTTTCCCCCCCCAACAGCATAGAAAGCGTTTTGATAACTCCTCTCCATCTGGAGGTGCAGAGATATCTCCTATTTGTCCATCTCCTCCACATCTTCTGCAAGCTATTAATGTTGGTCTATTTGTAAGCTTGCTCTTTCGTTGCTGCTATTTTTAATGCTTGGCATTTCCACGTCTTCGTGAGCATCTCTAGGGCCTTCTGCTCTCCTGCTTTCTGCACAACGGCCTTGCAGGAGAGCTTTGCACCTCTAATCTCTGCACAAGCACAAGGTGTCGCGCGGCCACATCCGTTGCCGAGTCAGGGTGCTGGCCACGTTGGAGTTGCTGGCCAGCTGGGGTTGTCCTTCTGCAATCTTCTCATGAGCTTCTCTGTCCCTGGGCTAGGAGGCAGTGGAGCAACTGCAAGAACTTCTGGATCAGGAAGACTATTGTGTGGACAGCCGAGGACAGTGGTGGGAGCGTCTAGCTCTGAACTTACACCAGCACTTGAAAGACACCAAGAAGGTAGCATATCTGGTGCGGGCTTCATGGTTATGGTGTCCTGGCAGACCAGATTGGGTTCTCCAATGTTGTTCTTGCCGACGGCATTCTCGTAGAAGACCTCCTTCTTCTGCATAGAGTTCTTTCTGTCTGGTTGTTGAGGAAATGACCCATGTATCTTGGTTATATTTTGTTCATCATCTCTCTGCAATGGCTGGTTGGCTGCTAGGCGGTTGCGTCCATCCGGAAAGGCCTCTTGGATCCCTTTCTTCGTCCGGGCCACCAGCTTGGTCTCTCCCAGCGAGTCCAGAGGCTGAAAGACACCCCAGCCTGCCAGAAGGTCAAGCATCTTCTTCGCGAACTGCCTCTCCTTTCTGTGGATGATGTTACTCATGTAAGTACAAGTGGTCCTTATGCCACAACTGACCCTGGAATTACAGTCATTGTGAGCAAACCTGATTAAGTGAATCAGTTTTACCCCATGGAGAGTTTTTGTCAGAAACTGAAAGTAGATGCTGGAAACCAACAACAAAGGGTCAAAAATCGTGATCATGGGACTTTGTAAACGGCTGTAAAAGTTACTTGGGTGTCAAGCACCCAAAATTACACGTGACTGCTGGGCAGCCCTCATAACTTTGAAATCAGGTTGTATTTTTGGGGTGGTCTGTTGTAACTTTGGTCACTAAGCAATCAGCCATAAGTTGAGGACTAGCTGCTGTGTTCCCTGCCTGGGGAAATTTTGGAGAAATGGGGGTGTTTTGTAGGCTCCAGTTTAGAAGACCTTGATAAACGGTGCAGGTCCAGAGAAGAACTACCATGATAGTAAAAGGACTGGAGTCCACATTCTGCAAATAATTGCCCAGATGTTTGTCAATAAACTTCACAATGAGACCACTGCCTAATCCACTCTTTCCATGCCAGAGTTATTCTGGTTGAGGAAACATCTGGAGAACTTGGATTGGGAGAAGGCATCCTTGAGGTTGCTTTGTCCCTTAACCAGGATTCTTCATTGACTCAGGTTACCATCAAAGGAAAACTCTGCCCACAGACCGGGATGGGCAAATCCATGTTTATCCTGGACAGCCAAACGGAAGGATCTGAATCCTTGACGGTGGTCTGCTCCGTTGAGGAACTGGCCTTAGCCCACTACAAGCAGCAGGGCTTTGATCAAGGTAAACTTCTTCCAGCTCTCCAGTTGCTTTTCTTTTTCCATTTTGCTTTGCTTGGTTGCACCACAGGGAGAATAAGGAAGGGTTGCTGCTGGTTCCTGCTTGCAAGAAGCCCACAAGGGCAAAAAAATATATGACACTTCTGATTAATTTCTCCAAGCACCAGTTTGGTGTAGCAGTGAAGGGGCTGGGCTAGGAACCAGAGACTGAGTTTTAGTTCTCCCTTCGTGAAAGGGCCTGTGAGAATGACCTTGGGAGTAGGAGGAACAACAGATTGGAAAGGACTTTGCAGGTTTTCTGGTCCAACTCTCTGCTCGTGCAGGAGACTCTATATATACCAGGGGTCCTCAACCTTGGCAACTTTAAGACTTGTGGACTTCAACTCCCAGAATTTGCTGTCTGAGGAATTCTGGGAGTTGGTCCACAAGTCTTAAAGTTGCCAAGGTTGAGGACCCCTGCTCTATACCATCCTGGACAAATGATCGTTCAATCGCTTCTTAAAAACCTCCAGAGCTGCAGACTTGATAAAGCTGACAGGTTTTAAGTCGAGGTGGAACACAATGTTGGGACAATGATAAATGGGGCTGAATTGTTTTGGGTTGGCACGTAAAAATATTCCGAAATGTTCCTTGTGACTTCCACTGGGCTGTTCCTCAGGGATTCATGGCGAAGGGTCCACCTTTACCACCCTCTACGGGCTCCTGATGTGGGAAATCCTTTTCATGGATGGCGTCCCTGATGTCTTTAGGAACTCCTACCAGGTAAGCTTTGTGTTCAGAGCAGGTGAAGAGGTGGAAGAAAATGTTTGTAGCTCAGGGTTGAACTGTGGGGTCCCTGGTGCTCTCTGAGCTTGGGGTTTTTCTTGCAGACATTTCAATACCCAACTAGATAATATCTTCAGTGCCGGAAGGGAATGGGGCTGGAGGAGGAGGAAGAGGAGGAGGAGGAGAGGAAGAGGACTGTGGGGGTCCTTGCTGCTCTCTGAGCTTCGTTGTTTTCTTGCATATGTTTCATGACCCAAGTAGGTAGCACCATCAGTGTCGAAGGAGTGGGGTTGGCTCTCCTTCCAGCACTGCTGATGTTACCTAGATGATAATGAAATATCTGCAAGAAAACAGCCAAAGTCAAGCCAAGGATCCCTCAGTTCAATCCTGAGCTACAAATTCTGTCTTCTATCAAAAGATTCTTGTAATAGTAGTAGTAGTAGTAGTAGTAGTAGTAGTAGTAGTAGTAATAATAATAATAATAATAATAATAATAATAATAATAATAATAATAATAAAGTTGGAAGGGACCTTGGAGGTCATCTAGTCCAACCCCCTGCTCTATACCAACCCCCAACCCTATACCATTTCGTACAAATGGCTGTCCACTCTTTTCTTAAAAACTTCCAGTGTTGGAGCATTCACTGCTTTTGGAGGCAGGTTGTTCCACTGGTTAATTGTTCTAACTGTCAGGAAGTTTCTCCTTAATTCTAGGTTGCTTCTCTCCTTGATTAGTTTCCACCCGTTGCTTCTTGTCCTGCCTTCAGGCACTTTGGAGAATAGCTTGACTCCCTCTTCTTTATGGCAGCCCCTGAGATATTGGAACACTGCTATCATGTTCCCCCTCGTCCTTCTCTTTATTAAACTAGACATACCCAATTCCAGCAGCCGTTCCTTATATGTTTTATTCTCCAGTCCCCTTAATCGTCTTTGTTGCTCTTCTCTGTACTCTTTCTAGAGTCTCAGCATCTTTTTTACATCGTGGTGACCAAAACTGGATGCAGTATTCCAAGTGTGGCCTTACCAAGGCATTGTAAATCATTGTATATCTTTTACGCGTGGGAGTTTTAAATGAAATTATCCCCTCTCCGTCCCAAGGCTTTCCCGCTGGACCTGTACACAAGCAGCTTTTATAAGAATCGCCAGGCGGCTATTGAGGCAAGGTTGCAGTCGCTGCACGATGCTTCAACCGAGACCCTCCAGAAGTGGGTGGGCGAAGTGTGGGGTGCCCAGGAGGGCAAAGCCTCAGTGCTGATCGGCTGGGACCTCTTCTCTTCCCTCCAGCAAGCCCAGGTGAGTGGGGAAGAGCACCTCCGTAGAGCCATGGCTTTGCAGACACGCAGAGTGCCAGGTTGCCTCCGGGCGTCTCCAGAGGTGGTTTCCAGGTTCTGGAAATGGACGGAGCCTTGCTGCCAAAAAGGGTTGGCTGGGGAATTCTGGGAATTGAAGTCCACCCATCTTAAAGCTGCTGAGGTTGAGAAACACTGAGGTGAGACTATAAGCAGACCTTTGCATTCCGCCAAGGAAAATACGGGAAACCTGCACATTAAAAGAAATAAAATAAGGGGAAGCTTTAAGTGTCTCTTGGAAGCTTCTCAGCTATCCTTCAGAACCAGGAGGAGGAGGAGGAGGAGGGAAGCCAACGGCCTGTAAATGTACTTTTGCAAAGCAGATGGAGCAGATTGCCTCGCTTTTCAAGCTGAGCCTAGAAACAGAACGAGACTCCCACATTTTGCTTTGCTAGAAGTGATGGTCTTCCTGAGGTTTAAAAAAGCCCCCCCCCCCCCGTTTTGCAGAGCCTGGTCTGCTGCTTAGGAGGCCCCTTCCTGAGTGGAGTTTGCCGGCGACTCTCCCGAGATCTGCGCCATTGCAGGGGGGGCCTCCCTGATCTTGTGGTCTGGAGAACGGAAGAGCGGCAATTTAAGGTACCTTCCCAGATGCCCCCTGCACCCGCCTCAAGAGAGGGGTCCCCTCGTTAAACGTCCCTTGTCAGGAGCCAGAGGTGGGGAGAGGTCCCCCCGGAAAGACCACGGCTCGAGATTTATCTTGTACTCACAAATCACAAGCTACCCATAGTCCTCGACTTACGCCCAAGACACTTAGTGATGGTTCAAAGTCACAACAGAGCCCTCCAGGGGTATTTACGACTTGGTTCCAAAGTCATAATGGCTGCACCCGCCCCTCCTGCGACTGCATTTGGGGGGCTTAGCAACTGCCCCCTTTTACGGCTGTTTGCAGCATCCTGCCCACATTTTGCGATATTTTTTCTTTTCTATTTTTGGGGAGGGTAGGAACAACTTTCCTCAAGAGAAGGTGTTGCTTTGCTCGTTCAAATTGTGGAATGACGATTTGCACGCTTCTCTTTTGCCTCTCCCCCCCCCTCTTCGGACGCTCCAGCTGGTGGAGGTCAAGGGGCCCGGCGACCGCCTTTCGCACAAGCAGACGGTGTGGCTGGACGAGCTGCAGAAGTTGGACGCCTCGGTCGAAGTTTGTCACGTGGTGGCCGTCGGGTCTAAAAGTCAGCGCCTGACCTGAAGGGGTGTGTGTGTGTCTGGGATCAAGTGCAATAAAGTAAAATCTTTTGATGCGGCCGTTGGGTTTTCTCTGGCACTTCTTCTCCGGCTTCGCTTCAGACTTTCCGTGGATGTGCTCGCACAGAAGACACAGTTTCAGACTCGGTTTTGGGAAGTGGAAGTCTTGGGTTTCGAGGACAGCAGCCGGAATTTCCCGTCCTGATTGTGATTCACCCCAAAGGATGAAACTGTCTTTCGAAGAGTCCGGTTTTGGGTGGGTCCGACTTTACAGCAATTTAACGAGTATCAGTTACGGGAAGTTTTTAAGAAGAGATTGGACTGGTTTCGGGGGGGGGGGTGGAAGCCCACAGTAGAGAACAGATTTGCTGAATGACTGCTGCATTTGATAACCACCATTGAGGAAAAAAATTTGGGGGCCCAGTCGTGGTGACCCACTTAACGACTAATTCCAGGCTCAATTATGGTCGTAGGTCAAGAACTACCTTCCATGTTCCGTCCCTTCCCATCGCCTTTTCTTCGAATCCGAAAGTGACAGAAACAATCCCAGACGAAGAGGGCAGGTTGATTTTTATTAAGCCTCATTTATTTGCACTGTCATAATTGCGGCAGATGGAAGGAGGTCTCCCTGTCAGCTCTGCTGTGCTTAGGTAGGCCCTTAGGAACATCAAAGCTTTAGATCAGGGGCGTCCAATTTGAAGACTTGTGGACTTCAACTCCCAGAATTCCCTAGCCAGCCATTTCTCCCATGCTGGCTAGGGAATTCTGGGAGTTGAAGTCCATTACTCTTAAAGTTGCCAAGGATGGACACCTGCTTTAGTCTTCCAAAAGCATAAAAAAATGTGATTTTTCCAGTCCCGTTTTCATAAAGTGTCACAGAATTCCACTTTCCTGATGGCCTAATTCACTTTTCCTTAGAAAAGGTCAAGCATGTTTGACATATTTTAAAATACACTTTTTGCGGAAAGATCAGCCAGAATTTAAGAGGAAGGACCCCCCAAAAGCACCAGAATTGAAAGGAGGGACCTTCTGCCACGGTGAAACACGTTTTTAGGATTGCTGATCTGCCTAAGAAAATTATACACCCATGGTAAAATATACCATATAGTCACCTTCCAGCACGCAGCAGCTAAAATCTACTCGACAGTATCAAAAGTTGTGGGGTTTTTTATTATTTTTACACAGTTCAATTACAGCAACCGCCTCCTTCAGCTCAAGCAGCCCTCTTGCTATTAAACAAACGTACAAAAATAACCATCTTGTTTTGCACAGTTATAAAAACTTCACCGTGGAAAGTACCTGCTTTAAAAAAGAGTAAGATACAAGGGCTGCTCACTGGTGTTGGAAGAATCCCCCACCCCTACTTTAAGTTCACACGCTCCATCGAGTTGGCAGAAGATACGACAAAAGCCAGGTTGGCCACCAGACCATTCCTGGTCCCCACGCAGCTGGTTCTTGTTTCTCAAGTCTACGATGGGCGTTAAAAGATTCCCGAGAGAAGCTCTATTACCTTCTGGAGCTCCCTAACAATTCCTTCCCTGGGGAAAAGGACCCTTTTGCCCTGTCCAGGATGAAGACCAAGGAGCAGCCATCCACCCACCTCAATCAACCAAGCTATCTAGTCTTCTCCATATCACCACATGGCACACAAAGGCACTGGCAGAGCTACTGCAATTAGGTGATCAGTCTGGGAAGTTCTGAGAGTTGGGCCATCACACCTGGACGCCACAGAAGATCAATTCGTGGCCCAGAAAAAGGATGGGATTGATGGAGGCATCAGAGGTTGCTAAGCCAAACAACGTCTAGCACAGGGTTTCCAAAACCATGCAACTTTTAAGATGCGTAGACGTCAACTCCCAGAATCTCTGAGAACTTGGCTGGGGAATTCTGGAAGTTGAAGTCTACACGTCTTAAAAGTTGCATGGTTGGGAAGCCCCGTTTTAGAAGTCCTCACCAGCACATCCCATGGGGAAAAGACCATTTAGACCAGGGCTCTTCAAACGTAACCCTTTCATGACTTGTGCACTTCAGCTCCCAGAATTCCTCAGCCAGCCATGCTGGCTGAGGAATTCTGGGAGTTGAAGTCCACAAGTCATAAAAGGGCCAAGTTTGAAGACCCCCTGATTTAGACCATCTGAAAGGCCAACAGGTTCCCAAGGATGAATCACTCGTAACTTCCCTTCATTTCTGATCACCATATTCACTTCAAAGAGGTATTTTCACTTAAGACGAATTAAGATTCTATGGTCCAAGACCCCTATGTCAGGTTCCCCTGCTAAGCACAATGCCTTAACAGTAAATAATGCTTATTTCATGAGCATTCCCTGCCAAATCAGCTTAGCAGATCTACTGACATGAGCAATCACAGGCCTACCTAACTGTAGCCTATATCTGCTTCACACACTACCATCACACAAAGCCATTTTCCTCCCATTTCATCAGGGCAACTATTTAAAGGCAAAGTTCTGCCATACCACAAGGGTTAAAAAAAAAAAAAGGAAAGTCACACATTACAAAAATGCACAATTAAAAAATTCCTGTAAAAAGAGGGTCAGGCATACATACAATACACATCTCAAAAGTTAATCACCTTACGTAGTTACCGGGTTTTTTTGCAAAATATATATACACTCATCCCACTTTAATTAGCAAAATTTGATACATCTGAAATGCCGTTAAGACTAAAGCATTTTAAGTAGAGAATCCATAAGAAAGTCACCTTAATAAAAAGGAATTGATTTCCCCCACCCTTACGAAAAATCCTGGATGGAAGGAACTCAACAGTAAGAAAATTAAACTTTTGCTCCATTGAAGATGGTTAAGATGATTCAGAAAGAGACTTCAGTTATGTAATTAATGTCCTTGAATGATCAGCAGCTGGGTGACCAACTGCAGAAACAGTTGGGGGGTGGGAGGGGAGGAGAGCATAACAGACCTGATAATGGGACCCCAATTCAACAATGGTCAGACAGGTTGCAAATGGTAGGCTTGATCCCCAGGTTGCCTCACACAGCACATGTTAAAAGGTCTATTTTGTGGGGAAGGGGATCAAACGGGATCCAATCTTTCCTTGTCCCAAACAGCAGAACTGTGACTATGTGCTATTTGTCTACTGTTGGATCAGCATCAGTACCTAAAATATTTGAGAACCTTTGTGGGTGTCCTCTTCTCTCAATGGAGCCGAACACAAGACATTTTCCAGAGAACTATTCATCTCACAAAACAGAAGAGGTTTCCATGGCCTCCTGACTAGGCCTTGAAGCCATCTTCCCAGTACAGGATGGCAGCAGTGACTCATCTTTCAAAACACTTCTACCTGCTCAAACAAGACACATGACTGAATGTCCCTGGCAGGTCCAGATTGCCCCAAATCCTCCTAAACCCCCCCCCCATGCTGCACACTACCCCTCGGATCCTGCAATCATGACACCTTTGGGGCTCTTAAAGAATTCTACCAACATCTTGGCTGAATTCAACCTAGATTGGTGCTTTTCAATCTCCGCAATGTGAAGATGAGTGGCCTTCACTCCCAGCATTCCCCAGCCATTCTGGGAGTTGAAATCCACCATCCTAAAGTAGCCAAGGTTGAGAAACACTGAACTAAATTGTAAAAAAAAAAAAGTCCCTAACTATATATAAAAAACAATATTTCCTTCCAAGAATGCTGATTCTAACCAAGCCCATCCATGGCCCATTCACAGTCAGTTAATACTCAACAATTTGTCAGTTAAGATTTCTTTTCCTGGCTAGAGGATAATAATCTTTAAAGCACCTCCAGAAATCACTATGAAGGAGACTGGAAACGGGCTACATCAAGAGGCAGAATGTTAGCTTATCAAATGAATGTAACTGAGTTCCAGGCAAATATTAATGTCAATGCAAGAAAAGGCACTTTTAAGGCTAGTGTTAAAAAAATGTTGTTTTTGCATACATGCTGATAGAACGGTCCCAAACTACAATGTCTGGAGCCAATATGGGCAGTTATTTCTCTTTATCCTTTAACCAGGTTAAAGCCGTAAGATTTTTCCAACTAGTTTCTTCTTGTTTCTTGATTTTAATCAGCTAAGAGACACCAACCGTCACACCAGCATCAACTCATTGGCAGCATATGCAATTCTGGAGGCAGATTTTTGTAAACTACAAGGCAATCTCAAACCCTAAATAAATAAATAAGAGAGCTGGGCCAAACGTAACCATTGATGATCAAAAGGGAGGCATAAAGCTACATTTAATTTACTTGAATGGAACTGTAAAAGTTCTGGCTGAAATTCACAGCAATGTGAACTTTTAAATCATCATGAGATTGGTCTTACCACCTGAGGGGGAAAAATATATTGCTCTAGTATTTTGCACTGGTTAGTCACCCTGCAAATCTCTCTCTCTCTTTTGTTTTCTTTGCTATTTCTCTTCCTTCATTCCCGCTTCTCAAGCTGCAGGCTTCAGCTGTCAACTCAAACAGAGGAGCCTCACAAACAGAATCAAAGCACAATCATCAAGCCCAACCTTCGATGTGCATCAGGAGGGTGAATCAACTTCAAAAAGCACGAGTCCTATCAACCAAGACAGCAGGAAGAATCACGGGTGAAACAAGAAGACGATCAACGGATCGATTGCAACGTTAAAACCAAACCAAACCAAAAATAATAACCTGTGCGTTATGAAAACATGAGGATTTTGCCTTTAAATACTTTGTGCAAAAACATCAATGTGGTCTATAAAGTTAGGACAGCTTCCGGCTAGCGGTGTCGTGTTAAGACTGCCGTTTCTTCTTCTTCGCTGGCTCCTAGGATTAGTCTTCGTTGGCAAGGGTCTCGGTGGACAACCAAATTTTGGCACCGCTCAAGAATTTGCTCAGGGGTGTGCCCAGGATGCTGCGCCGACAGAGGTTGCCCACGGGGGAGAATGGAAAAGCAGACGAGAGAAAGTCAGGCATGGTGGAGCCGTCAGTGAGCCCATGGGCTCGGAAGTACAGGCGACTCTGGTCCCGCTCAGGTGCGTTGGCCAACAGCGGGGGATTGCCGTTGTGTTGCCTCAAGCTCCGGTTCAAGGTTTCCACCTCGTCGGCCAACAGAGAGATTTTGTGAAAGGCTGTGATGAAACCCCCATGGTTGATCTGGGCCTCGGGGATCCAACGGAAGTAGCAGAGTTTCCAGAGCTTGATCTGTGTCCCGGAGAGGCGGGGTAGGATCACACCGTGAAGGTCCGCTGGCTTGGAGAACCAGTCTCGGAAATACTGCTCCATGCCGTTGGTAGTGTTGTGATGAAGGAAGTCAGGTTTCAGTTTGAGGATCAGGGAGTTTCTCCTGGGGAGGAAGTCCTGTTCGTTGATGATTCCGTTTTTGAGGGAAGATGGGAGACCTCTGAGGGTTGAACTGTAGTTCTTCTAGGGAGTGAAAGGTGGAATAAGTTTGAGTTTCCCATTGTTCACTGCATCAGATTATGGTTGATTCATGTTAACTGAATCAAGAAGCAAAATTAAGGCAACTAAAGATATGACCTATGGCTATCTAGTCCAGAATTCTGCAGGTCCCCAAGGAAAGACCTCCAATAACATATTGGGGATCCCATATGGCTGTGAAAGATTAGGGGAAGCAGGCAGGGAAGGCCAGATTCATTTGGTCTAAGGAGAGGCAGACCATGGAGAGCAGTGTCGGTTGGCTGGGGAATTCTGGGAGTTGAAGTCCACATGTCTTAAAGCTGGCAAGGTTGAGAATCACTGCCATAGAGAGTAAGGAAAAGATATACAAGCAGTGATGGGTGAAACATGGCTAAAGCCTGCCACAGGCAGACAATATTCTGAAGAGGCTCAGAAAGACACCTCCCCAATTCACAGAAGTATAAGAGGGAGGGAGGTCCAGCACAATCAGACTTGCAAGTTGTTATGACAGCCAACCTCAATCAAAATAATTCAGCCTTCCCGTGGAGTTGGCTCTTCTGATCTGAGGCCCACACAGAGCAGCCCAGATATGGGGTGGTGGTGGTTATAGGACGGAAATGCTTCAAAGAGACTTTGCCTTAGTTGGTGTCCCATAAGTTGGCCCCATTGCCCCGTTCCTACCTTTGATCGTTTAAAGCTTTTCACAGTCCCGTTGCACACACAGGGTGTGCTCTTCCCAATGTACAGGGGGTTGTGAAAGAGCAGGCGATCCCGCGCTGTGAGCTGAAGGGACCAATCCCAAACGGAAGGAAATCTCAGCCCTTTCTCATCACCCAGCTGAATATTTTTGCTGATGGCAAATTCCTGGAAGCAGACAAATGAAAGGAGGTTCAAAGAAGCAACCAAGTCCTCCTTCCTTGAGTTGAGATTTATTTCTACTTGAAGACCGATAAAGGTTAAAAATCAAAGTCCAGCATCGTCACAATTCTACAGCACAAAAGGTTCTGTGCCTCACACTACCCTTTCCTTTGAAGTGTAAACTACACAATGGAAAAGCTCTACTGAAGTGCAACATGCCTGCTCAGAAACAAAAATCACAATTGTACTACTACCATGACAGATACTCTCCTGACTCCAGCTAAGATCAGGCTCTTCACACATTTCAGTGTTGCCCCATGGTTTGACCCTCAAGTGTCCTTCTTAAATTGGCTGGTCATATGTGGCACCCACCGTGCTTTGCTTTACTCTCTGATGTGGAGAATTGAAGAGGAAAGTACCAAACAGTGAGATCCGTGTGCTGTCGTACAATATGGTCAAGTAAGCTTCAGAGAACTCAAAGGCCGATGGGTACTGCTCAAGTAGCTGCCAGACACAGTCAAGGAACATCAGGAACAAAGGAGACTAGAGGGAGAAGGAGACAGATAGAGGTTAGACCTCTCTGGTGGCCTGAATTGATTACAAAGCAAATGAAAGCTCCTTCAAGTTGAGTTCAACTCTAATGACTTTATAGACTCAACCATGAGTTGGCTTCCTATGGTCTTTTTAATGATGTCCTTTCAGACTTCCAAGTGTCCCCAACAGCTGTGGGATTTCTTACTGGTTTCTATCCAAGTATGAAGCAGGTTTGGCTCTCCATTTTTTTTTTTTTAGTGGGAAGATCAAGAAAGATTCACTAAGTTCCACCATTAAATGTCTTGATCCAAGCATTTTTGCACTGATCCACCAGGCATTTGCCTGGACTCACAAGAGCTCAAGCTGTGATCAGGATGGCCAATGCACACTGACTCCGTGCCCCTTGCCCGCTCTCCCCTGTTGAATGAAACAGGTCACTGAAATACCTTTTCTGGGTGGAGAAATGCCCAGCTAACTACCCCTACATATTTCTTCAACTTGGGACTTTTTTCATCCTATTACCTCTTTGTCAGATTTCTTCAAGTGATTGCACCTGTCCAGAAACGGGTGTCCTGCCATGACCCACTCCTTCTGAATCAGGCTTTGAAATCCAGCGATGGTCCGAAAATGGGGATCCAACAGCACTTGGATAAGAGACGCCACACAGCAGCTTAGGTCTCGCCCTTCTTCCTCTGTGGAAGGAAGGAATGATGTGTTTTTAACACAAAACTGCTTTCCTGTGTTGTATAACTTAACCAGAGCCCCCTGCTCAACAAGTGACCGTCTAGAAATATAAACATTCATTACATAGTATCAAGTTTCATGAACATTCATCGAAATCAGCTTCAAATGCCTACACAACTCATCAAAACGTCAACCGTATGCAATCAATCTGGTTTAACGTGTCTCTGTACAAGATGAATGCTAGGAAGAGGCTGGATGAGAGAAGAACAGAGTTCTGTTTATGGCGTGGAGTAAAGATAAGTCTATGGGAAAGAACTGGGAGAATTAATTCTGATCATGGTGTCAACACTCCCTTAAATAATTATTTTTGTTATAAATGCTTAATGACGGCCACATAAAGATTTTGTATGAGCATCAACACGATTTTTCAAAACAGACTAGCTTACCTTGTAATATTACTGAAACATGTTTGCTGTCCAGCATGTAGACCAGTTCTGCAGAATGCTTCAGGAAGATTCTAGATCAAGAGATCCCAAAATCTAGATCACCTTAGATGAACGTACAGATTAATTATCATACAAAATTTCCAGAAAGATTAGCTTTAATGCCTGGCAATGCTGATTGCCCCAGAAAGAGATTCGTGTTTTCAGAACTAGGGTCTTCTACAACAGGTGTAGATAAGATTCTTTCTGAGGATCATTTGCAAGTCATAATAACTTTAATCTTTAATTGACCTTGTTTTGATGGGAAGTGGCCCTCCAGATTTCCTACCTCACGTACTCCAGCCAACGTGAATTATCCAGCAAGGAAAGCCACTTCTCCTCAGTGTCTTCAAAAGGCTCTGAGACAAAGGGACACGTTATTTTCAAGAATGTCTTTGCATTACAGACCAGCATTATAGGGTGATGTGATTCTCTTTGAAAAACAGACCAAACACAACAGTTCCAGGTTGCTTAAACATGATTAAGAGAGGAGAGATGGACACATTTCTTTAAGGTTTGCATAGGAATTCCTCCAGAACCTTCCACTAAGCCTATGACTGGCCCTACCAAAAAATATGGCAAATATTAATCAGATTAATTCTCCCCCCCAAAATAATGCTGCGTATAGATATTTAAAGAATTAGGCCAAGATGGGAGCCAAATCTGGATATTCATTCCCCGGATGACACGAAGGGAAGTGGAAATGATACTGCAGTCCTCCCGCACTTACGTTCTCCAGGTTTTGAGAATTAAAAATAATCCAGAGTATATATTTAGAAACACAGAAGAAGCCTTTTCTTCTTCTTATCTCGAGACTTAATACGATTAGAGAGCAGTTGCTACCAGATGCTCAGTGTTATTTAAGTAATCCTTTTTGGACTCGTCTTTGAGAAGTTAATATGTTTTACATGGAATCTGCTTGTCTCAGATTGTCCGCCTCTTTGGCAAATTCAAGAACCAACCCTGGTTTGGAAGACGTTACCATTCACACATAACTGCTTCAGTTTCAGGAAAGCCGTCTGGATTTCGTGGACATTTGGCAGGCATTTATCTAAGTCAGACTTGTAAACGTCACTCCTCTGTGGATGACTTCTGGTGACAGCATTGCAAATCCTAAAAGAAAAAGAAGAGAAATGGTACTGAGGACATTTTTAGAAGTGTCTCATGACAGCTTCACCCCACAGCTGGCCCCCAAAGTCCCTTCTCAGCCTGGAGTGCAGCTGCAAGCTCCCCTCTCCTTCCCCAAGCTGTATCCTGTGGGCAAGGGCACACCCAACCACAAAATACTCTTCTAGGAAGCACCAGATGGCCCCAGCAGAGGGTGGCTAAGAGAAGTGACACCACCCCATCATACTTCAGAGCTCTGAGTCAACTACCTGGCCTTTCTGTGAAGACTTGATAATATGAAATAAGGGTTAAATGATTTATAAGGACATCCCTCAAAACTTAATAAGCCAGTTCTCCTCAATCTGATGTTCTAACAATGCATCCACTCATCCATCCATCCACCCACCCACTCATCCATCCATCCCTCCCATCCACTCACTCATCCACCCACTTACTCATCCA